GTTTAGTGCAGTTCAAAGTGCTTCACAGATGATAGACCAGAAGATAATAAGACAGAATGGAGTTAAAATTAAATCAGGTTTATTTAAAAATAGAATACAATAATAGAAATGACATTACAATACAACAATACAATCAATTTTACAGGTGTAGCAATAATATTTAATAAAAGCTATATTAATATATATATATACATGATAAGGAAATAGTGCAAATAAATAATGAAATTATTATAAGAAAATATGATAAAAATTGTAATTTTTTTTAAAAAAAAGCAAGTAAATAATGTCTAAAAAGCCAGGCTACAGGGGTCGGCTTTGAGTTTACGTTTAAAAATGTCAACACTCCCAGCTGCTCTCAGATCCTCCGGCAGGCTGTCCCAGCAGCTCGGAGTGTAAAAACTAAAGACTGCCTCGCCAAAAAGGTTTTTGTTCTGCACTTTGGAACTACTAGAGGGCTCGTGCCAGAGGATCTGAGGGCCCGTGCTGGTTCATACACTGTGAGCATGTGTGACCGGTGCGAGACCATGAAGTGTTTTTAAAAACAAGTAAAAGAATTTTAAAATCAATGCAAAAGCTGACAGGCAACTGCAGCCGATTTGTAACTTTTTTTTTGGGGTAGACCAGAAAAGAGCGCATTAAAGAGTTTCTCCGTGTCACTCAGAGAGAGAAATGGTGGTGCTTATGCAGTATAGTGGAAAGTTCACACACGGACAATCCGAGTCATCAGCAATGCAGTGGGTTCATGGAAATTATGAGTAGGTTGTGGTTATTAAAGCAGTACTAATATTGCTTTGAATACAGCTTTGAATCTGCATTAACCTTTCTTTTTTTTGACCACTTGGGGTCAACAGAAGAAGCTGTAAACACAACACTAACATATTATCGCATTATAAAGCGAAGGTTAACATATGTCATGTTATTTTATTCCTTTCCACTGTCAGCCTAGACATATAGACAGATAGAAATATCTATGTCACTGGGTGCCGTTCAGGCAGAGTTCATGGACCAAACTATGATACTCTCCCAGTTGTGTCCTCGCTTGGTTTATTTTCTTTTACGCAGCTTTGATGTCTGTGTCTGAGAGAGACAGTGGTGGTCAAGCGACACAGACCGTGAATGGGGAAAGGGAGCGACAGTAGCAAGAAAGCCAGTGAATCAGAGAAATAAAAAGTTATTTTCTGATTGTTTCACAGCGCTTGCGGTCTAAAGCACACATAAACACACCCACACACCACCGCACCAGTCTGCGGCTAATCACCACAACGTGTAAATATGGCCTGAATGCAGCCTTACACCCTCAATTCAGATAGGGACAAACCGGAAAAAACTTTTTAACAGGGATAAAAATTTAAGAAATATCAAGATGGTTGGAGCAAAGTAGCAAAACGTTGCCTATTTATACATCCAGTAGACTCAGAGCAACATTAGTATTTGTCTAAAGTCATGTTTCTGGCCACCTGGCAAATGGAAGTCCGACATTCACTTTCCTTTTTAGTTTTGATTTGGTCTCCTCGAGACCTCATCAACCCTGAGGAAAATATCTGGCTCTTTAGTTGCTAAATGCTCCACTATGTTCAGCTGGTGAACATAGTTGCTTACTGTGTCTGTCTGCTGTTCGGTGCTGGGCAGGTATTGCACAGTGGGATTATCAGAGCTTTCTCACTGAAAACAGCTGCCTCCTCCGTCTGGAAGGAACTCTGAGGAGAGCAGTCGGACTGAGCCAAAACAGTACAATTTTGGGCTCTAAAACTGAAACAATGACATGAAAGGCTCTAAAAAGCTGAGGGCTGAGCTGAGGAGAACCGAAGAGTTGGGTGATAATTCTCTCGCTGCAAGTGACCCCTTTCATATTATACGTAGTCATTTCATCCATTTAAGGACAGAGGGTCCTTATTTTGTAAAACCCTCTGAGAGAAACTTGTGATTTCTGGCTGTATAAATAAACTTGACTAAGATCTGGGGATTTGATGAAATTTAGTACTGCAGTGGCCATAATTACTCTTTTCACTGAAGTGGTGATGGTTTAAATTCCCTCCATCATTCCTGAGTAATAGGAAGTGTCAAACAAAACCTTCATGACACAGTGCTTTGAACACTCCCCTTTATCCCTGCAGAATTAAAATAGACCTGAAAAAAAGCTTTTCCTTTTCCATGACCACCTCTGCTGCTGGTGCAAATGAAAATGCCCTTCCCAAAATAGATCATTTTTACCCTTCAGATGTCCACTTTTATTTTAAGCCTGGTGACACCATGCCATCCATCACACCCAGTGTTTCAGATGTGAGCAGCCCTGGGGAAAACACTGATACAATGCAGGGAAAGTGTGATAGCGTGCTGCTGCTGTGTAGTTAGGACCTCTATGGTTAGGCTACCACTAATTTCATCTCAGAGTAGCATTTAGACATTTTCTTTGTGTGAGTAAAGTGGAAGTCATTCCCCTTTTTAGGGTAAACATTGAAAATGGATGCCCTGCCTTTCCAACTCTTCCCTCAAATTACCACTTGACATGGCCAAACATCGCTCCGCATTATTGTCTGCCAGGAAAATGCATTTCTGAATGCTTTATTGAATGTTTTGGCTGGGTGGAAATTGTACGAAGTGTACCCAGGGCTTTGATCATCTTGACCTGGAAATGCGATAGTCACCCCACTTCACAGGGCTCTCTGACACCTGGGAAACTGGATCTGGTATTCTTGATACATGATCTGCACCGCAGCACTAAAGACTTAACTTCTCCTGTTTCGTAGTCGGCAGAGACTACTGATGGGAACTGGAATTTCACATGGCTCAGACTGAGGCTTTTTTTTTTTTTTCTCCCACAAGCCACTGGAGTCACAACATTTGGAGGCTGGTGGAAAAAATGGCCTGTATGATTTTTATGAACGAGATTCCTGCAGCATTACTTTGGCTTCACACACAGACGCACAAAAAGGTTTTTATTTGTAGATTGGATTTTTCATTTTTGTGTCTCAAAGCTGACAAAAGATTTCTGGCGGATGTTGTGAAGCAACATGTAAGTGTGCACAGTGAAACCCCAATATAGACCTGACATTCTTTGAGTCATCAAAAAGATAGCATTTTTGATTTGGATATTCATCTTTGGGTTCGTTTTCAAGTGGTCCTGCTGTGTTGTGCAGCAGAGGTGGGCCTAGCGTCATAGATGAAGAAACTTTATTGAAATAAAACACAAAGCTGTAGGGAAAAACCGCAGGAGCACTTTTTCTCACAACTAATTCCATAGATTTTATGGTTGTGACAACTGTTTAGGGTGCCATTTTCTAACTAAATTAATCATAAGATGTATCAAGTTCTGATTGGCTCAACAACTTCCTGGGAGAAACCTGATGAGACTTAAAGATTATGGTGTAATTTTATGGTGTATGTTTTTGGCCATGTTGTTTATTTTCACATAGTGAAACCAATGTCACTGTAACATGGCGTCCCTTGGATCGGAGGCAGTGTGTTTTTCAGATCCATAAAAGCATCACATCAAATCTAAACTAACTTGAGTGCTTAAATAAGAATAAGGTGTTAGAGTATAAGAGGATTGTTTTTGTATTATGTGGATATAATTCATTCAGAAATCTGTTTGTGTTTTACAGTGCTGAGCAATTTAATGTGATAGGCCTGGCAGTGGTATGAGGGTTGAAGCACATTACACAGAGCCAGTGTGTGATTAGAGAAGCTGTGGCATGGCTTTTAAAGTTCACGGCCCCTCAGGATATTTGATCGAGCCGCCGGCCTTTGATCAGTGTTAACATTACGGTAACCATGACAGTTTATTTTCAACTACCAAAAAAAGACCATTTGTGTCAGAAAACAATCTCCCCTTCCTCTGACACGTTGGCACGCCGCAAAAGAAAAATGTCAGGGTCAGTGATGGGCCATTAGCCCAGAGTGAGTTCCTTTTGTGATCCAAGATCCATTTAAAACACCTTTTTAGTCGTCAACAGATGGTACCGTGACACAGCAACCACAGGCGTTGACCTGTGCCTTAACTTGAAGACATTTCCCAAAAAACCACAGGACATACAGCACCGCAGAGGAGCGAGAATGTCTGCCCAGAGAATGAATGACACCCATGAATGTGTAATAAAGAATTCACCTGCTTAGCACGCCTGTATTGTAATGCCTTGTACATTTGATTGACTACACGGTCACCCTCTATTCATCGGTATTATACCCTTTTCTTTTTCATGGAGGTCGCTCCTTCATTCCTGCAAATGTCATAGCGCTTAAATGAGAACTGCACTGTAGCCCACAATGGAAGCTTTTCAGCCAGATTAAATGTATCACTGTGCTGAAACTTTCCTTTCCTCTCTCCCCCTTTTGCCCCTATTGTGACACAGTGGTTTTACAGAGCAGCTTGTTGCTGAAAAACAAGGTTAAGAAGATCAGTATCAAAGGAGGAGTGTTTTTGTGTGGCTTGCAGGAGAGTCTCGCTTCAGGTTTCCACCTGAAACACAAAGGTGTTTTCTTACCTGATTTGTATTCATTCACACAATGAGTGGACCTGCCTCTCTTGTTTCCAAGTAAGGAGAGTCCAGACGAGACTTTTGTTCGCCCTATCATCGGATACGTGCATGTTGCTTCCTCCAGTACAAGCCTTGGAGCCCAGCCACAGGCTTTGTCCTGGATGGATTTTTTCCTGCCCTTTTTCCTCTTCTTTGTTGCTCTGTGTATGTTCTAAAGAAACCATTTCAGATAAATGTTTCAGCACTACCGCTTTTTTTTTCCTTTTCCTTTTGGCTTCTTATTTCAATAAGCCTTGTCACCCTAAAATTGCCTCGTCAGAATCCAGAACCCACAAATTACCAGTTTAAAATGTGTTTCAGTCCATAGGAGCCTGTAATTCAGTCCATTATGGTGCATGTTGTGCTCTCAAAACACAGACAGTCTACCTATACAGTGGTACTGTACAGATAAACTTGTTTGGTTCAATTGAGGTCAGTCAAACTGCTTAACACATGATGTAAGTAAATAATATTCTTGTTTTTCAGGGTTTTTTCCTGACTGTGTCCCCGGAGTCAATCCTGAAGGTGGCGAAGCACGCTTCAGATAACAACAAAATCTTCTGCATGAACCTCTCAGCACCTTTCATCAGCCAGTTCTTTAAAGAGCCCTTGATGAAGGTCATGCCTTACGTCGACATCTTGTTTGGCAACGAGACGGTAAGTGAAACGAGACATGTGTTCAGGCCTCTTCAGGACAGATATTCTGTTTGCCAACACATTGTTTTAATTGAGATGTACAGTACATGTCTTCTTGTGTTTTTGTTTGTATTTATCTCCACAAAATAAGTTCAGTCGTGTTTGTCTGTTTTGTTTTTTAGTTATTTGGTAGGATATCTCAAAAGGCTGTTTGGTTGCACGTCAAGTGCTTTATGTTTTGTCTCGTAACTCCTGAAAAGTAAGGCAGAGAAGCAAAATACATTTTCTTCCAAATCCCTTCGTCCTTGACAAGATAAGCCATGCCCATTTTATGTCATAAAATACTGTACAACATTAATGAATTTGAACATAACAAATTAGAATATAATGACATGTTTAGCCACGCTAGCAGCATGCTGTGTGCACCACTTGGGTCCAGACTGAAATATATCAACAGCTATTGGATGGCTTGCCATCAGATGTTTTACAGACATTCATGGTCCTCTGAGGATGAACCCAAAGACTTTTTCCTCCAGCACCTCCATGAGCATGACATTTTTGTTTTTGACTGAAATATCCCGACAACTAATGGATGGATTGTCGTGAAATTTGGTACAAACATTCATGTCCCCCCTTGACGTGTCTCTTAATATGTGACCAAATACCTACAGAACAAAAGACATTACCGTCAGCATCAGCTGTACTTTGTTTTGTGTCATTTGTAGATGTTGTCATGCTTACACACTAAACGTAGGTAGTGAACATGGTAAACATTATTGTATACCTGCTAGACATCAGCATGTTAGCACCATCGTACTACAAGATTACTACTACAGATTTAGATTTAAAAAAATAATAATAATCTAGGCTGCAGATCAGTCAATCATTGTGTGTGTGAGATGCAAAGCCCATTAGCATTAATACAAGAAGTGCAAAAGATTATGCAATCTTGTTGGAGGTGTGTGCTCTCTGAGTGCCTTATAGTTTGACACTATATCCCCTCACCTTGTTTAAAGCATCAATCAAAATGTCATGTCCACTGTTTCATTCCACTCATTGCTCTCATTTCTCCTCAGTATCCATTTAACTTCTCACTTATCACTGCCCCATAAAGAGATGAATAAGAATTAGCCCAGTAATCATTCATCTCAATCGCGTCACCATTTCATGCCAGTTGATCCATTGATTTTTCTCGCCGCTGTGGAAGCGGGTCGCTGGTTGGAGGTCAAGCTGTGGTCACAGACTGTGGTGCTGCTGGGAAGTATCCTCTAACAGGCCAGCTGAGCTTGACTCAGAGGCACCGCCTGGACAAACTGCAACTTTGGGGTGGGAGGAGGGGAGTGGATGATCACTGAACTGAACTCGCCTCCCCGCTGCTAAAGCTACTAAACAGAGCCCTGTCTTTGGGTTAGAGATGGGGTCCACAGACCAGGACAGAACTGGAAGAAACTGCTCAGCATTTGAGGATTTATCGCTGTTGCTGACTTCAGCTTTTTCCTCTTTTCTTTCCTCTCCCAACATAAGACCTCCCTTTTACATATGCACCTCTCCTCTCTCTCTCTCTCTCTCTCTCTCTCTCTCTCTCTCGCGCTCCCTAATTGCTGTGAGGAACGATTGTGTCTCCTAAACCACGGTGTACATTTTGCAAGCGTTATGTATTTTCGGGTGGGTGGTACTGTAACTGTTTGCTTAAGAAGTTTGCTCACACCTCCAGTCATTACAGTTTAATGACTCTGGATAATTGCAATGCATGTTTGTTGAAGGAGATTATCTTTTGGAGTCTCTGTCAGGGCTTGCTCTCCGGAATTGAACCCGGCTAAGACCACGAAAATAACAGATTCAGTGGGAAACAGAGCAGATATTCACTGCTCAGCTGCCTCAAGCAGTGAGGTCTTCCAGGGTCTATATAGGACTAATGCCTGTCCAGAGTGTTTTGACTCCTTTTGGCCTTCCACTGTGTTGGCTGCTAGGAGGAGGGAGCGGGGAATGACTGCTCATACAGTCAAGCCCTAGACCTCCCATTGTGCACAAGCCAGACAAGGTTGGCGGTCATGCAGTGGTGCATGGTGAGTGACAGGCAACAGGACTGCCTCGCCCACGCTCGCCCATCCAGCCCCCCTGGCCGTCCTCTCACCCCAACTTCCACCCCCCAAAGTGATGGATCAGCCTCAGCCCGCGATGCTTTCATAACAAGTCAGTGACAGTCAGGATCATGCAGACTGACTCCTATAGCCTTGCAGAATGTGCCATAAGGGAAGGCTAATGTGTCTGCCTGTCTCTGCCTTCCTCTCCCACACTTACTGAGTCACGATACAGAGCTACGCACACTTGGGGAAATATTTTCTAAAGCAGCTGTAAGATCTCATGTTTTGAAAGAGACTAATAATAATTTTGGGCAAGATTGAGGTTTGCATTATTTGTCATGAGTGGGATCTTATTTCAGTCGGATCACAATGCCCTTCTGATCGTTTGAAACTCCAAAACAGTTGTGCAACACCACAGACTCCAAAAAATGTCAATAGTCTCTGTTTCTGCTCTTGTTTTTGCCTGCTTCTGATGTTGAAATGTGTCTGTGTTTCTGACTGAGTCTACCCTTGGTAATTCTGCTGTAATTCGATCCTGCTGGTACTTGTTTGAAACCTGGCATCAGCAGGCCCTCCCTGGCCTATCGGCAGCCTTGTACTTATATAACAGTCTCCCATCCATCCTGTAATTACTGCCTTTTTGGGGCATAGTGTAGTGTCTGTTCCTTCACTGGTGGGGGGGGGGGTGTGTGGAGAGGCTAGCGACGCCGTTTGTGCGTTTCCAGGGCCTCTGAGATGGTGCCGACGGAGGCACATAGACATCAAACGCTACTTCACTTAATTGGCAAACATGTCGTGTGATAACCTGGGAACAGCACAGGCCTAATTGAGTCCTCCTGTGCTGTCCTCCTCTGACTACCTGACATGGAACCCAGGGCATTACATTTCCCTCCATTTAATGGCTGCAGTTAATTAGGCCCGAATGAGGGAATCATTACCGCTGGAAAAACCACATGCCAGTGGATTCGCCGATAAAATTAGCCACAATTTGCTTTTGCTATTTGAGCATAAGAGATAAACCACACAATGGGGGGAAAGGATTGGACCATTACTGGCGGATTTGTATTGTGGAATTTTAGACATATCATAGACAAATGGAACGATTAATCAAGACTGAATTAATCACCCTGACTGATGTTTTTTTTTTTTTTTGAAGCCAGGATTCATGGCTTTCTCTATTTAGATCATTTCATGTGCTTGGGCTCTTTTTTTTTTGTTTTTTTATCTGTGCAAATGGTTTAAAAATGTGCTTCCTTTAATAAAACGGTACTGCAGATGAGAAGCTTATTTTTTTGCCCCACAGTCAATACCCAACAACCTCCCCGCTCCTCTGCCATTAACATTATATACCACCCCCATACAGGAGCTCTTCATGCCTTCCATTGCTGTCCAATGGGTTCTGCAGCTTCACACTCAGAGGGAGCTTATTTTTATGGGTCCCCGCCCCGTCTTCCAAACGAGAGACAGCCATTGTAATTGAATACTCAATAGGTGAGCCATTTAACAAAAGTGGAAATGGCATTCGGCTATGTATTAATGTGCTTTGCTGAGGCAAAAGGAGCCATCATCATTTCAATGTTCAAGCTGTTTTAAAAGAGCATTTAGCCTGCCATCTCTCCGGGCCATGAGAGCAAAATGACACGGATTTCTTCCTCCTCTGTACTTTGTGTGAATGTTCCTCGCCTAATATTTTGTATGGTTATCTCGGTTATTTTCCCATCCATCCCTCAGCACCTCTCCCTGATCTAGGTGGAGGGATACAAGCAGCTCTACAGAAGGTTACTGTCATGAAAAGCCCCTCAGGCGTTTTGGCTCTCAGCCCTATTTTTCTCCATCTGCATGCAGTGTGTGTGGGGTGGTGGGGGCTCTAATGATTTTTCCAGGACAGGCTGAAGTGGGTGTACAAGTATATATATATGTGTGTGTGTGTGTGTGTGTGTGTGTGTGTGTGTGTGTGTGTGTGTGTCTGCGTGTTTGTGTGGATGGAAAAAAAAGCAGGCGGAGGAGATACATGGGCAATATGGCGTCATTTCTTAACATCCCTCCAGATTTGTCATTTGGCTTTGTTTGTTTGATAGACTGCTTGGAAGCCTTATCTCTGTGGCGAGGCCCGTGGCTGTTTATCGCCTCAGTGACGTATGCGGGATCGTGGAAGTGCGTGCTCTCTGCTGTCAGTATGTGTGGATGATGGCAGGTTCACTAAAGGCCCCTTAGGGTATGAGGGGTGTTCTCGCACAAAAAAAGGGAAAAAAAAAAAAAAAGAATAGGAGGAAGAATTTCCCCTTGACAGCTCACCCACAGCGGACTCGAGATGTACTTCTCAACGGTAGCTTGGGGAAAATATCCCGTCTCACTGCCTAAAACAAAGAGATGTGAGAGCCAGATTAGCGTATTACCGAAACAGCTTTCCTTTTAGGCTCTTCTCTCTCTCCTCCTGTCAGAGCTGTCTGCAGAGAACGGGGAAGAACATGAGACATTAACCTCCATGTGTTTATTCACAAGGCCCCACAGGCCAACTGGGAGGATGAACACAGAACCATCTCTAAAGCTAGCGAAGCGGAACAATCACAATGTGTCATTGGAGGAAAAAGACATGAAGTATTAGCTGCTGCTCTCCTTTGTGTCTTTCACAGCTGAATTTTAATTGAATGTGCTATTTCTGTGATGAGTCACATGCCTTCCGTTCAGCGCCAGAGTACATTGACCTTCAGTGTGACGTACAGTCAGTGAGTTGTATGATGAGTCATAGCGCACATTAGCTGTGATGATTTGCTAAATCCAAAAGCTGCCTTGTTTTTATTTTTGTTTGATTTATTTTTTTGCTTAAGTAACATTTCTCTTACTTAAATTGTTTATTTTTTCAGACTTGTCTCTAATCCCTCGTTAGTTGAACTGCTCGGCTTTAAAGCGAGACTATGTAAATTTTGCTGACGTGGA